CAACTTCATGATTGAATTTCTGATGGTCCTATATAATTTATTAGAGATAAATTTAACGGATATAGCCTTAGAATCGAAACAATAATAAACTTGACGGAAATCAAACCAGCACATCATCTTGCTAAATTTACTACAGTCGAGTCTATAAATTTACGAGGAAAACAAAAGGGAAACTTTCGGAGTATTTCAATTAAGGAACAGCAGCATTTGCTGTGTATTTGCAAATCAACTTGTATTAAATATAAGGATAACCATACAGATGGTCCCTTATGTTTTCGGTCTGATTGATTTTGGTCATCGGTTTAAGAAAAGAACTGTTTTGATCTCTTACGTTATTAGTTCATTCAGTTTTAGTCCTTTAACCGTTAACTCCCGTTAACCTACGGTAGTGTTATCAACTGGAGCTCGATTAGCATCCACTCCTAGTCTATTTGATCACCGAGTAAGATAGCCCTTGTTCCACCGACAACACAAGTACTATGCCCCCAAGCAAACCTAGGTGGCAATCCAGGCACATTCAGCATCCCATGTTGGTTTTCCGTCGGTTGGGAAGCAGAGTGAAGACCGGTGACAGGCCCGCCGAAGAAGTGAATTCTTCCACCGGGAAGGCTCACGGCAACGTGATCAAGTCTCGGAGGAGGAGCTATTCTCCCGGGATTTCCAGCACCAAGCATGCCACTACGGCACTACCAGTTACACATCTCCAACACGGTTCCTCACTCAAAACCATGTAAACCTCTGAGAAAAACAGTTTCTGTAACTACAATAAAAGCTCTTTTATCAAGATCAAAAGAAACTATGTTGAAAGACTTCCATGAACAAAGAGCTCTCAAGATTATTTCAGGGTTACAAATTTTGATAGAGATGACGTGGCTTCTGTTGTTACTGTCGCAGATAAGGGTGGAAAACTCGTGTTGATATAGCTTGTGACCCAAATTTAGTGAAACTTGCCATTAGTTTAACTTTTCAACTAAATATTTGATTTTAGTAACACTGCATCTTTGCAACATAAATGTAATGGTTGATTGATACACATATGTTTTTAGATTTTCCATAAAAGGATGCCTCCTGAAGCCATTGATCTTCGCTGCAATACTCACCAAGTCTTCGTTGTACAGCTGCGAGTTACTAATGTCTCCATCTTTTGTTTGGTGATCTTCAAATATGCAAAAGTCTTTTATTACCAATTTAGCTCCCCAAAATATCTATGTTTTTAGTGATAATCAACCCTAATCTCATGTGCTATGACAGCTGGAAGTATGTGCACATCCCTTTTTTATGAGCTTCGAGAACCTAATGCTCGCCTGCCAAATGAACGGCCTTTACCGCCACTTTTCAACTTCAAACAGGAAATATGTTTCCATATACAAAGATACTAAAAAGATTAGAGTAATATGGATGGACCGGAAAGCTACTAGTGGAGGAAAGTTTAGAAGTGTATTTGTGTCCTTGGTTTGATTGAAAAGGCAACATCAACATTAGCAGCAGCGTACTCAATTTCAAGGGCAGTCAAGATTCCAGTAATGTGTGCATCTAGACTTAGTGCATGCAGTGACAATTTCAATGGCGATTACAGCAGGGGCAGCCGGTGTGGGTGTGGGTTAAGCCGTCAGCAAGCTTAACGATGTCATAGCAATGGTTAGAGAAGTGAGAAGCATATCTGAATCAATGAGAATGGAAGCCGATAACAAACAAAGTACACCAAGAGAGAGGAGCTTACAGATAAAAATAAAGTGAAAAGAATCAAGGGATTAAGCAGTTGAAATCCATGCAACTGGTCTCCCTCCAGACAGATTTCTCCATTGAAAGATCGAACAGGAAAGTGTCTCATTATCTTTTATTTATTTGCAAATGTTATACATTCGGATCCCCTTCCCCTATCACCTTTATATCAATATTTCCTTTTACAAGAGTCTCCAACAAACTTTTAAATCAGTTGAAATGTATTATCAAGACATTTAAACGGACTATTGACAGATTTATTAAAGTTTGCTAATAGCCTAATAGAGCGTAATCCAAATATCTCACTGTCAAATCTATTTAGTCTACTAATCTACGAATAGCTATTAGTTATCATAACCTTATACCTGACACCATTAGACATAACTACCATAAATCTCTCTCAACAAAATGCGAAAGGAAACTTCTTTTTCTTCCTCAACGTTCTCTCTATAAGAGGATCATTAGCCAACGATTTCTTTCTCACCAATCATAGCTCTCTATCCAATTTAAAAATAATAAATCGTTAATGATGGACGAGTTAAATTTGTTCGCTTCAACAACTTGCATAAATATAATATTGAATTCTTCCAATGTCATTGTCCACAAACTAACTAATTTTTCCATAATTCTTTTTAGTATTGTATCGGTTCATCACATTAAATTTCTCATTTTATGTATTATAGAAAGCATGTTTAAAATATTAAGAATCGGAAAAACAAAGAGGTATTTAAAAGATATATATATCCCAGATTACTTAGACAAACCTTTAACCTACTGTTTATAAAGAGATATTATACATAATGTATTTTTTTGGATTTTGTTTTTGTCTTGCACTTCCAATATATATTATATTTTCATTTTCATAAAACGTAAACAACCTTACACATCTTACGTCAAAGTGTTGAATATATATATATATATATATATTCGCATAATATTAAAATTAGCTTCCCAGCATTTACTAAGATAATCATTTTAGTTCCTAATATTTCATTTTAAGACAAAAAAAAATCATTCATATTTGATAGAACAATTACTTTGACCTTTTTTTTTATAGAGTATTTTGACCCCCAACGTTTGTTTTAAGATAAAAAAGCTCATACTTTAAAACGGTAATCGTGTGTTAACTAACGGTTTCTATGTATAGGGGGTTTCCTCCCCAAAATGAAACATTGTGATCAAAATGCTCCAAAAAAGGAATAAGGGGCAAAATGATCATTTTGGTAAGCGTTAGGGGCTAGTTTTGATATTATACCAATTATTTTTAATAATTAGCTGAATGATTATTCTAATGCAACGAAGTCTGAAGCAAGAATAGGAGGGGCTACAATCCGGGTGGTAAGTTTGTAAAAAAAATAATGATGTTTGTAGGCATGCATCATGGGTGACATCGATGGTGGTGGAGTTTTTCAACAAGCTTTCCCTTGTGGATTGCATTGCATCATCTGTTTCTGGGTTTTCTTTTCTTTTTTAAGTTTTCAATCAACTGGGTGGAAAATATTTAACAAATCTTCACAGCGGGAAAGTAGGCTAAATACTAATGGTAACACAATTGGACACCCGTAGTCTAAGATATAAATCTTTAACAAATAAAACAACTATGCGGAACAACTTTGAAAACAATAATAATGACTTATTCCTGAATTTGATTGTTTTATATACGAGAGGAGTTTATTTATACACTACAAAAAACTTAAAAATTGAGTAAAATTCCTAGAAACATATTTGAATTAAATTACAAAACTTTAAAAAACAAATTCCAACTTATATAATATCACTTAATAAAATACAAATAAATATTAAATCTAACTCTAACTTATCTAAAATACATTTAAGGAGTTCTAATATGAACTTAATTACAAATAATAAATTAAAATTTATAATTATTAAAAGAATTCGTATTTGACTCGTATAGAATTTTTTACTACGTTGTCTTTACTAAAATGGATATATTTGAGTTCTCAACGTTTAATTGAATTATTTTAAGATGCTTTAGAAAAATAATTGACAATCCATCGTTTTATAAAAAAAAAAAAGGATATTCCTAAAAACATATCTAAATTCACTCATTTATTACTTACGAAAACATCATTCATATAAAAGACATCAAAATCTTGCATTAAAAAAGACATCTAAATCACTTAATAATATTTAAATTTATATTAATTAATCAATAAATTATATATCAAGCAATTTAAAAAAACATCGTTCACATATTCTATGGTATATAAAGATACTAGCAGGTTCAAAAGTTATTCTAACCCTTTACTTATATAGAAAAAATACAAGTAATAGATATATATATATTAGGGTTAAACCTTTTGGTTTATTCTTTCTGTTTAACAATAGTAATTTAGACGTTTATAATTAAATAAAATTCATATAAAGAGTATTTAATATATTTAAATATATTTGCATGTCGCAACTCTATTCAATTAAATTAGAAGATAAGTCAAGATATCGTTTTATCGAGAAAAAAAATCATAAATTTCAAATAATGAATCGTAAATTTTATTTTTTTTAAATTAATAAATGCTTGATTTATTAATGAATGAAAATCTCTATTTCCCGAGTTTATTTTATTTTTTTGAATATCAAGTTCATAATTTTTTTTTCTTATTTGAGATAACAAGGTATTAAAGAGAGGGGTGGCGAATAATACAGGATTCTATATAAAATGAAGCGAAATCTCAGTCGATACGGTCACTTCAAAAGAGATGCTTTTGCCTGCAAAGTCTTGGTTTTAGTCTTTGCCTTTTTCTTTGTATTTTTATCCCTTCGGCAATTTTATTATGATCGTCTTTTTCAGCGGTAAGTCTCAAACTCCAGGCCAGCAATCTTAGATTTTATGGCATTACAGTATTGTTTGGAGCAAAGGAAAAAAACAAATGGGATATGAATGCATCATTGCAACCAAGGTTTTGATTGAATAATAGTTTTTTACATGCGAAAACGCTTGCTGCGTAAGGCAAAAAAAACTCCCCAATCAGCAGATATATATATATATATATATATATATATATATATATATATATATATATATATATGTGTGTGTGTGTATGCTTTTAAACTCCAAATCCTTGGGAGTGTTTCATTTAAACTCTCTTATTTTCATTATTCCGTGTTCTTCTTTTACGGTGAGTTGGGAGGGTATCTGGGTTTGGTTTATGATCAAATGGTTCTCTTTTAAACTTATTTTCTTCATTCATTTTCATGATAGAACAATCTTACTTCACATCTAAGGTTTCTGAGTTTGACCAATTAATTTTTATTTGTTTGCTGCAGCTACAATATAGTAAATCCTATAGATTTCTGAAGTTGTTGAGTATCAAAGTAATATAGCTTGGGAGCCGATCAATGGCCTCCGAGAATGGTTTCAATGGTGATAAAGATACCGACTTGCATGAAGCCAGCGCATCAAATGGGCAGGAAGAGACAGAGAAAGGCTCTGGAGTGAATGGAGAAAATCAAGATCCTGAAAGGAGCAAAGGAGATGGGAAAGCTAACACGGTTCCATTTTACAAGCTGTTTTCATTTGCAGACTCTAAGGATATCTTGTTAATGATCACCGGCACAATTGCTGCGGCTGGGAATGGTCTATCTATGCCCCTCATGACAATCTTGTTTGGGAATCTCATTGATTCTTTTGGGAAAAACCAGAGCAATGGCAACGTGATTGAAGAAGTGTCCAAGGTATGAACTTAGCTTTTAAGATTTTCATGATTGTCTCACATAGGGATTATTAACTGAATTCTTGAAAAATCTTAGGTTTCTTTGAGATTTGTTTACCTGGCGATGGGGGCTGCCGTAGCGGCGTTTCTTCGTAAGAAAACATCTCATTTAAATCACATTGCTTGACGTTTTGTTACTTCATGTGGTATTGCACTCGTACTGAAAAGCTTGGATTTTGTTATTTTCTCAGAGGTGACTTGCTGGATGATCACAGGCGAGAGACAGGCTGCACGAATACGGGGCATGTACTTGAAAACGATATTGAGGCAAGATGTTGGATTCTTTGATGTGGAAACAAACACAGGGGAAGTTATTGGGAGAATGTCTGGGGACACTGTTCTCATACAGGATGCTATGGGTGAAAAGGTATACAACTATATTATCGTCGTCTCAAGTCCTGAGTTGTGACTCGGACGTTTAAAATCCTTGTTAAGTAAAATATTTTCATGGAAATCATGGTTCATTCACCTACTTTTACCCAGGTTGGGAAGTTTTCACAATTGATATCCACTTTCCTTGGAGGCTTTGTTATAGCCTTTGTCAAAGGATGGCTTCTTACCCTAGTCATGTTATCTGCTATCCCTCTACTTGTATTATCTGGTGGAACTATAGCCATTACAATATCCAAGATGGCAACTCGTGGACAAAATGCTTATGCTAAAGCCGCTACTGTAGTTGAACAAACAATTGGTTCAATTCGAACTGTAAGTTCCCTCTCAAAATTATTTGCCGTCATCAATTTTTACTTTTTCTTATTTGGTGAATGTATATATATATATGACCAATCATTTGATCTGATTCCAGGTTGCGTCATTTACTGGAGAGAAGCAAGCCATAAACAATTACAACAAGTCACTTATTACAGCTTATAAATCAGGCATCCAGGAAGGTACTGCTGCTGGATTAGGTGTTGGCTTAGTTATGCTAATTATATTCTGCAGTTATGCTTTGGCTGTCTGGTTTGGTGGGAAGATGATTTTGGAGAAAGGGTACACTGGCGGTCAAGTACTTAATGTGATTATGGCCATATTAACCGGTTCCATGTGAGTTTAAAATTTGAATTTTCTCCATCTTCTACTGTGTTATATTTGCTTAAGAGGTTAAATTCATTGGTATTACGTATGTTTTAGGTCCCTGGGTCAGGCATCTCCTTGCATGTCTGCATTCGCTGCTGGTCAAGCTGCAGCGTTTAAGATGTTTGAGACCATCAAAAGGAAACCTGAGATTGATGCCTACGACACAAGTGGTAAAGTTTTGGAGGACATTCGCGGTGATTTAGAACTGAGGGATATTTATTTCAGCTACCCTGCCAGACCAGAGGAGCAAATTTTCAGTGGATTCACTCTTTCTATTCTGAGTGGCACAACAGTTGCTTTGGTTGGACAAAGTGGAAGTGGGAAATCAACTGCGATCAGTCTGATAGAGAGATTTTATGATCCACAAGCCGGTGAGGTTCTTATTGATGGCATTAATCTCAAGGAGTTCCAGCTTAGATGGATACGAGGAAAGATTGGTCTTGTTAGCCAGGAACCAGTGTTGTTTACGTCAAGCATAAGGGATAATATTGCATATGGAAAAGAAGGTGCAACCACAGAAGAGATTAGAGCTGCAGCTGATCTTGCAAATGCTGCTAAGTTCATTGATAAACTACCTCAGGTTTTTATTTATCGTCCAATTAGTTGTACTTTATATCTCGGGTACTTTTATTTTTAGAGTGTACACTTTGATTTACTTTTGAAATTTTGGGCACTATTCATAGGGACTAGATACCATGGTTGGAGAGCATGGAACTCAGCTTTCTGGCGGACAGAAGCAACGAGTGGCAATTGCAAGAGCAATTTTGAAGAATCCTCGGATTTTACTTTTAGACGAAGCTACAAGTGCACTCGATGCAGAATCTGAAAGAGTTGTGCAAGAGGCGTTGGACAGGATAATGGGCAATAGGACTACTGTCATCGTCGCTCATCGTTTGAGTACCATTAGAAATGCAGATACCATTGCTGTAATTCATCAAGGAAAGATGGTTGAAAAAGGTACGTTATAACTTATATCTTTTTTGAAAGTTTGTAACTTGATCGTAAATGGCTTTATCTAACACATGCATGTTATCAATGGGATGTACTTTTATTCGACTAACTAAACCATGTTTTTCCCCGCATATTGTTGTATTTTCCAGATGTTTGTATTTCGATATTCCAAATATATGCAGATTTTCATCGTTCTCATAGATGATAACATCTCTTCGAATTGTGCAGGGTCACATTCAGAACTACTCAAGGATCCTGAGGGAGCTTACTCTCAGCTTATTCGTTTACAAGAAGTAAATAAACGTCCGGAACAGGTTGCAGATGTATCAGACGTTACTCCAGAATCGTTTAGACAGTCAAGCCTAAGAAGATCATTGAAGCGATCAATCAGCAAGGGATCATCTAGAAATAGCAGCAGCCGCAATTCTTTCTCCACTCCTTTTGGTTTACCTACTGAAATGAATGTCACTGATCCTGCAATGTTAGATACGGAAGGCCATGATGGACCACCATCGAAACAGGCTCCAGAGGTTTCCCTCCTCCGGCTTGCTTACCTCAACAAGCCGGAGATTTTCGTGATCTTAATTGGAACAATGTTTGCGGCTGCCAATGGTGTGATACTTCCGGTTTTTGGAATCCTTATTTCCAGTATGATCAAAACATTTTATGAACCACATGATGAATTGAAGAAAGATTCAAGATTCTGGGCACTGATATTTTTGGCCCTTGGCATGGCATCATTCTTTATATATCCAATTCGATCATACTTCTTTTCTGTTGCTGGATGTAAATTAATCCAACGAATCAGATCAACATGTTTTGAGAAAGTGGTCCGCATGGAAGTTGGTTGGTTTGATGAACCCCAGAATTCAAGTGGTTCAATCGGCGCAAGGCTCTCAGCAGATGCAGCCTCAATACGTGCCCTGGTTGGAGATGCACTAGCTCAGCTGGTCTCAAGCTTAGCATCAGCCGTGGCTGGTGTGGTCATTGCTTTCATTGCAAGTTGGCAGATGGCATTTATTATCTTAGCACTAATCCCTCTAGTAGGGGTAAATGGATATATTCAAGCGAAATTCATGAAGGGATTTAGTGCAGATGCAAAAGTAAGCTCGAATATTACTTCAATAATTGTAAAAAATAAAAAAGTAATGTTTTTAAGAATAATATTGTTTTAAGTATTTAAATATAAATTGATTGCAGATGATGTACGAGGAAGCTAGCCAAGTTGCTAATGATGCAGTTGGGAGTATAAGAACGGTTGCGTCCTTTTGTGCAGAGGAAAAGGTAATGCAACTCTATAAAAAGAAATGTGAGGCTCCTATAAAAACAGGGTTAAGGCAGGGTTTGATCAGTGGAACGGGATACGGACTTTCTTTCTTCTTTTTGTTTTCCGTTTATGCGACAAGTTTCTATGCAGGAGCTCAACTTGTTGAGCATGGCTATACGACTTTTACAGATGTTTTTCGAGTGAGTTCGACATCCTTGGACCTTTTTCTCAAGGCATAATATTTCCTTTGTTTGTCCCTACCATACTGAGACTGCTATCTATTTCACAGGTTTTCTTAGCTTTAACGATGGCAGCTGTTGGAATTTCTCAAACAAGCTCTTTCGCTCCTGACTCTAACAAAGCCAAGATCGCCGCTGCTTCCATATTTGCGATTGTTGACCGTAAGTCTAAGATAGACCCAAGTGACGAGTCTGGGAGGACACTAGAAAATGTAAAGGGAGATATTGAGCTTCGTCATGTGAGTTTTAAGTATCCGTCAAGGCCAGATATTCAAATCTTCCAGGACTTAAGTTTGTCTATTCATTCTGGCAAGGTATTCATCCTTTTCTATATCGAACTCACAAATACTTCACTTATCAACATAATTGTACAGACTAATGTCATACGAATATCAATCTTTTTGTTTCTTTCAGACGGTTGCACTGGTTGGAGAAAGTGGGAGTGGGAAGTCTACAGTAATCTCATTATTGCAGAGGTTTTACGATCCCGATTCTGGAGTTATCACTCTTGATGGAGTCGAAATCCAAACGCTCCAATTGAAATGGCTGAGGCAACAGATGGGACTTGTGAGCCAGGAACCTGTTTTATTTAATGATACAATCCGTGCCAACATTGCATATGGAAAAGGAGGAAATGCGACTGAGGCAGAAATTGTAGCTGCATCAGAGTTGTCCAATGCTAACAACTTCATCAGTGCATTACAACAGGTTAGATACATGTTGGCAGATATGATTGACTAATGATTGGTTACTGATCTTTCCACCTATAATCCAGGGTTATGATACTATTGTGGGAGAGCGAGGACTTCAATTGTCGGGAGGACAGAAGCAACGTGTAGCCATTGCACGAGCCATCATTAAAAGTCCGAAGATACTGCTATTAGACGAGGCCACAAGTGCACTAGATGCTGAATCAGAGAAAGTGGTACAGGATGCACTAGATAAAGTCATGGTGGACCGCACAACGGTTGTAGTTGCTCATAGGCTATCCACAATCAAGAACGCGGATGTTATCGCCGTCGTTAAGAACGGAGTTATCGTAGAGAAAGGAAAGCATGACACTTTGATAAACATCAAAGACGGTTTCTATGCTTCCTTAGTTGCACTTCACACGACTGCTTCCACTTCACAAATTCCGTAATATAAGAATAGGATTAGTTACAAATGTTGAGAGTCGAAATTCTATACTTACACAATATCACCCTTGAAAGATGATGCAAAAGAGTTCAGCTCAGCCTTGTGAAGCTTACTCTTTGGACTGTTCTTAGGATTTCCCAGATGATTTTTTCATAGAATATTCCACGCAGATAATAATATATTAATACCCAGAGGCAGAATGCTGTTTTCATCAAACATCACCAGTGACTCATTGTTTGTTTGTTCCTTTGAATCCTACTCTGAAACTATGAAAATGATGGCGTAGCTTTTTTTTTTGTTTATTAATACGATACTTCTTAGGCAAGAAAGAGTTGAAATTGATGTTATAGTATTGGAAATATTAAACAAAGTGAAGTTAGTGCATCTACTGAATTTTTTTAATGATGATGCAGGACGATGGCCATTGGCCAGAGCAATTTACCTAAACATATGTTAGGATAAATTCGAGCAGTTTGAACAAAAACAAAGCTGTAGGCTTTCAAATATCATTATTCTAGATGGACACCATTTTTTTCCTTCACGGCATCCAGAAAAAGAAATTGCTACGATCAGTCAGTGATCATGACATATGAGCACTCCCTTGAAATTCAGGTTTCTGCTTTCATTTATGGGAAACAAACACGGGAGAGGTTATCGGGAGAATGTCTGGTGACGCTGTTCTCGTACAGTATGCCTTGTACTAAGTTTCATTCATCTTGTCTGTGTAATAATGGAGATGCCTTGCTTTATTTTTGCAGGTTGGGAAATTCTTACTTGATGTCCTTCTGCAGTTACGCATTGGCTGTATGGTTTGGTGGGAGGACAAAGTGGAAGCGGGCAAAATCAGCAACGGCTAGACATTTTGTAAAAAAAAAAAATTCAAACCAGCGACCTAAGGATTTCAGATAGAATGATCTCCTACTACAGTCCTCCGCTCTACCAACTGAGCTAAGGTCGGATGCTATGTGTACAGTGACAAATTGTATTGTTTAATATATATATAATAGATTGAATTCGGAACCAACTTCCGGCACAACCCTATTTCTCACTCTTCCCCACAGAAATTTTCATATCTCATTCGGGTGTTTTTTTCAAGTGGACGGAGAGGTAAATTGTAGTTAAGGGTTTAAAACTTAACATTTTAAATGAAGGGTTTAAATCTTAATATTTGGGAATTTTCATCTCTACATCATTAAATGAGATTAATTAATTAATAGACTGAAAATTAATGAATACATCTAATAAAAGATTAGACTGTCGGACTGGGTTTTTTTTAAGATTTGAAAACTTTTAAGTTTTTATTTTTTATTTTTTACTTCAAATTTTTTTTTCAAAATTACCAGAATATGACACATGTCACTTAATAGAGATTAACGTCCGAACACTTAAAATGGTAATTGAGAAAAAGTTGGACACCTATTTTAATGTCTCAAATTCGAGCACCATAGATGTCAGAGTCGTGAGAGCTCAATATCGAGAGATTAAGAATTATCTTTGAACATATATTATTTGTACTTACCACATATTAATAATAATAAAAAAAGATACTCGTTATTGGTTCGTGGATAGTCGAATAATTATTATAATTTAGTTGCAATTAAATTATTTTATATTAGAAGGAATGTTTTTTAGAAAATGGAGTAGTACGAAATTATTTAAGACCCAAATAGAAATTGATTAGTAGTATTTATCTAAAATTATTCTCCAAAAATTCGTTGCCAGTTTTCCTTGGCCGTCTCTTTTTACTATTTCTCAGTTATCTCCCAATAAGGACACGAGGTGCTCGGTTACGCTTACGTATAAAAAAAGAGACAATGTACTGCCACTCAGCAGAAAGTATCGATGAGGTGGCAAAATCCAAACCGTCTTTAATTGGATGAAGTTATCGAACAGCTTATATTCAAAAGAAACGCATGTCAAAGTGTAGGTAGGAGCGTGGCAAACCGAATTCCTCACGAGCGCGCCACCGCCAAGCGCAATAACCCTTCCACGTCATCTTTAGATTTAATCCAACCGTTAATAGCTTGACACGTATACTATTACTTCCCTTCCAGGAAACAGAAACCGTTGAAGGAACGTATATTTCAATATATGAAATTGCTTTTCCTTCAATTCAATTCCATCTTTTTTCAAATTTAAACGAGTATCAGTACCATCGGATTCACGCCATGGAGACCTCTCGCATTGTTTGCAGGACGGTTTCAAGGTTGCCGGCGGCAAGGTTTGATTCCTGCCGACGGTATACCGGGGACTTGAATCTTGGTGTTGGAGGTTCCAGGGTTTCAGTTAGGCCGAGGGTTAATTCTTGCAGGAGACTGAGTTTCCAGTTTTCTGATTCAGGGCATATACAGTATTATGTATCGCCGAGGAGTGATGGTTGTGGTGGAGGCGTCGCCACGAAGAAAGACAAGGGAAAAAGCTCCGAGATTAGTAGAGTCAAGAAGAAGTTGAAGCTTATGAAGAGATTGTCTAAGGACTTGTCCATGCTTCCTGAGATTGCTTCAGGTGAGGATATTAGGATCGGATTGGCCGCTGAAGTTAACGTGACGATGATTCAGGTAAAGAGATTGATTTTCCGTTTCTGTTTTTGTTATCGGTTTGATCTGGTTCGTGACCTGTAAAATAATTTACTTCCTCTCTAATTGACTTTAACTGAACTCTGATCCTTTCTATGAAAATTGTTTATAAAATCGAATTAGGGCTTTTGTGACGATATTGAAATGAATTCGAAACCTTATATATTGTCTTTTTTTTTCAGGAAGCAAGTGATGTTTTGTCGGAACAACTGCAAAAGTTGAAATCAGAACAAAAGGAGTTAAAGAGGAAATTGAAAGAGGAACGAGCCCAGCTCAAAGCAACTTTGGGGAAATCAGAATCATCATCATCTTCTTCCTCCGAGTCAGGTGAAAGCGAATGTGGGGAGGTAGTTGATATGAAAGCCCTGAGAAGCAATGCTTTGAAACCATCCCAAGTGATAGGGCCACCGAACAACAATACCTTCAAACGACCAGAGGAGATAGAGCCACCGACCAACAATACCTTGAAACGACCAGAGGAAATAGAAACAGGAGCATCAACGGTGGCAGAGGAATCAGCATTAGCTGGCTCTCTTTTGGAGCTAGAAAACTCGGATTCGAGCCCCCAGATTCGAGTTCGAGTTCCTCGTATCGGTTTCGATGGTGAATGTTGCAGCAGCTCAAATTGCTTGGAAGGGACATCAACCAAGAAGATTGAAGTTTGCATGGGTGGCAAGTGCAAGAAGCTGGGAGCTCCTGCATTGTTGGAAGAGTTCGAAAAGAAAGTCGGAGCAGAAGGCACCGTTGTTGCCTGCAAATGCATGGGGAAGTGCAGGACCGCTCCAAATGTGAGGGTCTCAAACACCCAAAGCGAAACTGCTTCAAGAATCAATGAAGACTCTGTTAGGCTCGGGATTAATCCTACATGCACTGGCGTTGGGTTGCAAGATGTTGATCTGATAGTGGCAAATCTTCTGGGCAAGGTCATAGATGATGAATGCTTGATGCTCTCATCTTGAGTCTTCATTTTGTTTCATTCTTTGATTATTATAGTTATGAATTAGTGTGAAATAGGAACTATAGTTGATGTGATATAGGATCTATAGCTGAAAATGTAAAAATGCTTTAATCTTTTGCTTTCAAGTAGTAATGTCAAATGCAGATTGAGATTTTTAGTTCTGTGAATATTGAGCCAACAACTATGACCCGAAAACTATATTTAACTGCACGTTTAAAACATTAAACAAAACATTACACGAGACTTCTCTTTAGTTGGGACATTCAAAACATCACACAAACATGTTCTTTAGTTGTTCGATTAGTTTCTTGCAATCAGTTTCAATGATAATTGTTTTTTTTACCCCAGGTAATGGACTTGGAGCATAGGACTCTCTTTCTGCAGGAAGACAAATAATAACATGAATACTGTTTGTTTACTTCAGAATAATTGAGTGTTGAATAATTCAAATGTTGAATGATTCAGGACTCTATGAATTAGTTGTGACATGCTGTTTGTTTACTGGTTCTGAATCATTCAGAATGTACTTCAACAGTTAAAACTCTATAAATTAATAATGTCAGGACCGGAGAAATTTATTAATTTAGAGAGTTATTAATTTATCGATAAATTAATAATTATTAATTTAAAGAGTTTTTAAGTAATTATATTGTACATACTAAACAAAAAGGCAAATTAGGCAAATTAGTCTATGCCTTTTAGAATTACGTTGTAAGAGATGAGTTAAATTAATAATGAGCTCCAAATAGACTTGAATTTTAAAGGATAACAAACAACTATTGAATCATACTTTCATAGAGTGTAATATATTTTTTTCAGTTTCTATGAATTATTAATTTATGATTTTTTTGAGACCGAAAATTATAAAGGGATCTCACGAAAAATTATTATCTTATTATTTTATAGAGTTTTTCAATTTTTTACATTGGCCAAAGTCGGGACCGGATAAATTTATTATTTTAGAGAATTTATTAATTTACCGAATATTAATTTAAAGAGTTTCTACTGTATGTTGAATCATTCAGAATGTACTTCTGTTTTGTTAAATCAGTCAGCATTGAATCATTCAGAGTTACGAAACAAACGCGCTGAATGTTGAACGATTTAGCATTTAACGATGAATAATTCTATTAAGAGGTAAATAAATAATCCCTAAATTATTAACTCGGTCTAAAGTTTCAAACTTATATAAGTTTTCATTAAAGGTAAAGAGTGACGATAATTATTTTTAAGCAGACATGTAAATATTTATTAGCAGAAATCCCTGCACAAAACAAAATCCAACATGCAACAATGTCAAAGAAATTACCTTTTCATTCCCTATAAAGCATTTTGCAAGTTTTCCCATCCTCAACTAACTGATTAATAGCATTCCTTAATTTCTCATAATCGTCCAATGTATTATAAATCTGATGAGAAATTCTAGCATAGAAGATCAATGAAAATGGCAATTTGCTCTATTTCTGGTGCTCCCTTCGCTTAAGCACCGAAAACCCAACACAGAGACGGAGAGGAAAGAGAGAGATTAAGAAGAGTCGATAGATTGTTAGGGTTCCAAGTCCTTTATAATTCAAATAAAAAAGGACCCTGTTAGAAAAATAAACCGAGTACAAGTAATTTCCCTATAACCAGATTAGTGAGAATGCGAAATAAAAGCGGAAAAATAATACCCGAAAATTGATAACGGAGTTCAGCCAATTGTGCTTACGTCTCCGGGCTGCTGCAGATCTTTTACTAAGAGAGAAAATTTACAGGTGTTTACAAAACACTCACTACTCACAAGAAAGCTCTCTAGTATAGGAAGAAAGAAATGTTTTGGGATGATTTTGAAGCTAAATGGGTAAGGGTATTTATAGTAGAAACTTAGGGACTAATCTTTGAAAATACCCTAAAGTGCAATGACTAAAGTGAATTTACCCATTCCTATTTTCAACAAACATCTACCAAAATTTTACCAAACTTTGAAAACATTTTTCAAAGAAACATTTACCAAACTTTGAAAAAAACATTTTCCAAAGTTGGTTGCCAAACTTTGAAACTTTTAACAATCTCCCACTTGAAGACTGATTTTAATATGTCTTCACACCTCGATCAATGCAGCAGCATGTCTGGTCTTGTTATTCTAGCATGCCAACTGAAGTTGAACACAACTTCAGTTTGTCCGTAGTCACCGTCTTTGTCAACATGTCTGCCGGATTTTGAGCTCCACTAATCTTTTCAAGTTTCAAAATCCCATCTTCCAGAAGAGACCGGATAAAATGATATCTCAATTGTATGTGCTTTGTCCTGGAATGAAAAGACGGATTCTTTGCTAGATGGATAGCACTTTGACTGTCGCAATACAAGATATTGTTTTCTTGTTTCTTGCCTAACTCTTCCAAGAAACTTTGGAGCCAAACCATCTCCTTGCTGGCTTCCGTAACAGCGACATATTCTGCTTCAGTTGTGGAGAGAGCAACTATCTTCTGTAGTTGAGAAACCCAACTCACTGCAGTTCCTCCTAGAGTATAGACATACCATGTAGTGCTCCTTCTGATGTCGACATTTCCGGCTAAGTCAGCATCTACATAGCCTGTCAGTATCATATCTCCACCTTTAAAACAAAGTGCTTTGTTTGTGGTACCCCGAAGATATCTGAGGATCCATTTGACTGCTTCCCAGTGTACCTTGCCCGGATTATTCATGTACCTGCTAACAGCTCCCACTGCATGAGCAATATCTGGTCTGGTACAAACCATGGCATACATCAGACTTCCAATTGCTGAGGCATACGGCACCTTCACCATGTGTGCACGTTCTTCCTCCGTCTTTGGTGATTGGTCTTTGGAGAGTCTAAAATGAACACCTAAAGGTGTACTTACTGGTTTAGCATCTTGCATGTTGAACCTGGAGAGTACTTTGTTGATGTACTCAGCCTGTGATAACATCAAAGTCCCCGACTTTGTGTCTCTCTTGATCCTCATCCCAAGAATCTGCTTTGCAGCGCCCAGATCCTTCATAGCAAACTGCTTCGACAATTTTTGCTTCAAGTGTATAATCTCTTGCATGTCTGAGCCTGCAACGAGCATGTCATCAACGTACAATAATAAAATAATGAAGCTGTTGTCGAACCTCTTGATGTAGCAACAATGATCTGCTTGGCATCTAATAAAACCACTGCTACTCATGAAGCTATCGAACTTCTTGTACCACTGTCTAGGAGCTTGTTTTAAACCATACAAGCTCTTCTTCAACCTGCATACCAGGTTTTTCTTGTCTGCCTCTATGAAGCCTTCTGGCTGCCTCATATAGATTTCTTCCTCCAAATCACCATGAAGGAAAGCTGTCTTTACATCTAACTGCTCAAGATGTAAATTCTCTGCAGCTACAATTTTCAACACCAGTCTGATTGTAGACAATTTTACGACTGGAGAGAAAATTTCATTGTAGTCAATACCTTCTTTTTGCTGAAAGCCTTTGACAACCAATCTTGCTTTGTAGCGTTTGCTCCCATCGTGCTCTTCTTTGATCCTGTAAATCCACTTGTTGTGGAGCGCTTTCTTGCCTGGTGGTAATTCAGCTATTTCCCATGTCTGATTTGACATAAGCGAGTCCATCTCATCTTTCATGGAAGACTCCCACTTGACTGAATCCTCCACTTGCATTGCTTCATCATAGCACTCTGGTTCACCATTGTCAGTCAGCAACAAGTAGTGTAAAGAAGGAGAATACCGTTGGGTTGGTTTAGGAATTCTGGAGGAGTGTCTCAGTTCTGGTGTGCCTGGTTCTTCTTGAACTGCTTCAGGATTGATCTGAACATCATTTCCAGAAATCTCCTCGAACTCAGCAAATTCCTTTGTTTCAGCTTCGGTATTACTTGATTCTGCGGTTGATCTATCTTTGTACATCACATTTTCATTGAAAATGACGTCTCTGCTTCTGATGATCTTCCGATTTTCATAGTCCCAAAACCGGTAACCGAACTCATCACCGCCATAACCAACAAAGGCACATTTGTTGGACTTAGCATCAAGCTTACTTCTTTCAGCAGAGTCTATGTGTACATAAGAAATACAACCAAACACTCTTAAGTGTGAAAGGTTTATTTCTTTCTTGCTCCAAACTTCCTCTGGTATTCTGCCATCCAAAGGAACTGAGGGCCCACGGTTGATCAAGTAAGCTGCAGTGTTGATTGCTTCAGCCCATAGAAATTTGGGCAAGCCGGCATGTATCCTCATACTTCTGGCACGTTCATTCAGAGTTCTGTTCATGCGCTCTGCTACACCATTATGTTGCGGTGTCTTGGGAACTGTTGTCTCCATCTTGATCCCATTGTTTGCGCAGAAATCTCTGAATCTACTGTCTCTGTACTCTCCTCCATTATCAGACCTCAACCGCTTGACTTTCAAACCAGTCTCATTTTCCACCATGGCCTTCCATTTTCTGAAGATATCGAAGACTTCTGATTTCTTCTTCAGAAAATAAACCCACACCTTCCTTGTTGAATCATCGATGAAGGTGACATAATATAGTGAGCCTGCAAGAGATGGAACTGGGGATGGTCCCCATACATCAGTATGAACCAATTCTAACCTTTCTGCCTTGGGTGTCTTGTCAATCTTTGCAAAACTGACTTTCTTTTGTTTGCCAAAGATGCAATCCTCGCATAGTCCGACATCTACATTTTTTAGATCCGACAGCTTCCCTTTTGACAAAAGTGTCTTCATCCCTTTCTCGCTCATATGGCCAAGCCTTTGGTGCCATAGGTTTGATTTTCCATCAGCAACTGCTACTGCAATGATATTCTCTAAATTTGAGGTTACATAGAGAGTACCAGTCTTCTTACCACGAGCAATGACGAGTGCTCCTTTGGTAATCTTCCATTCACAGCCTGAAAAGGTTGTGCTATATCCTTCTCCATCAAGCTGTCCAACAGAAATCAGATTTCTTTTGAGGCCAGGAATATGTCTCACTCCTGTCAGCTTCCAGGTGGTCTGGTTTGGCAACTTTAGTCGGATGTCTCCTTTTCCGACGATCTTTAAGGTTTCATCATCAGCAAGATGAACCTTCCCAAAATCACCACTGACATAG